CAAGGTGGACTGGTGGAAAGGTAAGTTTGACTGGTGGGAAGGTAAGTTGGACTGTCGGGAAGGTAAGTTGGACTGATGGGGAGGTAAGTTGGACTGATGGGAAGGTAAGTTGGACTGGCGGGATAGTAAGTTGGACTTATGGGGAGGTAAGTTGGACTGGTGGGATAGTAAGTTGGACTGATTGGAAGGTGAGTTGGACTTGTAGGAAGGTAAGTTGGACTGGTGGGAAGGTAAGTTAGACTTGTGGGAAGTTAAGTTAGATGGTAGGATGGTAACTTAGACTGGTGGGAATATAGTTGGACTGGTGGAAAGGTAAGTTGGACTGGAGGGAAGGTAAGTTGTACTAGTGGAAAGGTAAGTTGTACTGGTGGGAAGGTAAGTTGGACTGGTGGGAAGGTAAATTGGATGAGAGGGAAGGTAAGTTGGACTGGTGGGAAGGAAAAGAATAAATGAAAAAGTGAAAGTGATAATATTTTTACCTGTTTAGCAACTTCTCTAAGACAAAGAACACCAGGTTCTAAATCAGGAAACACAACAGATCCATACTTTCTACATGGTGCTACAGGTCGTATTTTTAATGTGACTTCAGTGACTACACCAATAGTACCTTCAGATCCCAGTATAATATGATGTACATCAGGACCAGATGACATTCTAGGAACCTATAAGATACAACAATTATCCTCATATTAGACCAAAGATGAGTTTGCAGAGAACAAAATACAATGTATTTGCAATGCAATATGGGAGAGATTTTTTGAATTTTGCATCTACTGAGCATTTTAGCAATGCATCATGGGAGAAAAATTCAAATTTTGCATCTACTTAGCAAACAATGCATTGTGGGAGAGAATTTCACATTTTGCGTCTTCTGACCATGGAATGCATTATAGAGGAGAAATGGGAAAAAAATGTTTGCATCTACTGAGCACGCAATGCATTATAGAAGTTTATTTTTGCACCTGCTTTAGTTTTTAATTCCTTCCAAATCTCCTAACTGAAACTAATCACATTTTCTCATAGTAATAAGAAAAGAAAATTACCTCTTCTCAAAAAATAACTACATGTAAGTGATTGTACATTGTACATACCTGACAGTTTTTCTCAAACACACCTCTTGGTGTCACCATGCGGACATGAACTAACTGTAATACATAATGAAAAGAATTATATTTACATAAATAAGAACAATAAACTTAATTTATTTGTTTGCTTTTTTTATGAGGGGATAAGAGAGTAACCATCATGCTGGGAGGCCATTAATAAGTCACATATATGACATAGTCTAATATTTGTTTTTAGTGGTATTAACATTTGATAACATAAAATAATATTTCTTCGTTGTAACAAAAAAAATGTGTTATGGCATTCCGAGAAGTGGTTAAGAAGAGATAAAAGTAAAACCAACATGTCTGCCAGTTTTTTAATCAAATAACAATACAAATCATGAGTTATTAGAGTTGTACAAACTCACCAGATCTTCAATGTTGCCATAGACATTTTTCTTCATACCCGATGCTCTGGTTGCTACCCAACCTCCAAGAGAACTAAATTCCATGGAATCTGGTTCATGTCCAGTACAATAACCACGTTTTATTAACTAAAAACAATTACACATTATTAGAAAAAATAACAAATATAAATCATTGCCAAGTACCGTAATGCAATCTGACTGTGATTCACTTCTCTAAAGAAGAAGTTTATATCTATCTATCTATTTATTTATTTATATATATTATGCAGATTAACCGATAAACCCACTTAAAGATCTGAACTAAGTGTAGGGTAGGAAAGGTGATGACACTGAGAGAAAAAAAGGTATCTCCCAGGTATCTCCACCTAGCCAGGAGCTCTTTATTTAGTTTGTCATTGTTGTACCAGCACCTTCACCTTTTCAGCCTTTATCACAACAATTTTGGTACTATTTTGGTCCCTGCTGCTTCAATGAATGAGAATGTGACTGTGGTTATCTATTCACTGTGACAGTGACTACGCACGATGGTCAAGACTGACGGACACCTCTGACTGGATGTTATTTTCTCAAATGCAAAGTGTAACTTTGGCAAGTAGTAGAATAGTTGAACTCTTTTTCAACACCTGAGGAAGTTTTTATTAGATATTCTAAAGGTCATACATCCTAGCACTTCCTGACCTTTAAAGGTTGTACATCCTAGCACTTTCTGACCTTTAAAGGTCATACATCCCGGCACTTTCAGACCTTTAAAGGTCGTACATCCTGGCACTTTCTGACCTTTAAAGGTCATACATCCCGGCACTTTCAGACCTTTAAAGGTCATACATCCCGGCACTTTCAGACCTTTAAAGGGCATACATCCTGGCACTTTCTGACCTTTAAAGGTCATACATCCTGGCACTTTCTGACCTTTAAAAGTCATGCATCCTGGCACTTTCTGACCTTTAAAGGTCATGCATCCTGGCACTTTCTGAACTTCAAAGGTCATATATCCTGGTACATTCTGAACTTCAAAGGTCATATATCCTGGTACATTCTGACCTCAAAATGTCCTACATTCACAGATATTAGATATTCTAATAAAGTGCTATATGAAAGATGCCATCTGGAAGATACAGATGCTGATTGGAAATCATGTCTTGAAAAAACAGCTGATGATATAACCAGGACCGCTCTTCATTGGACTCCAGAAGGAAGAAGAAAACTGGGTTGGACCAAGAACACTTGGCGACGGACTGTGGAAAATGAATGACGAATCTCCTCCAGACCTTGAGATCAATCCAT